TATGATAATGCTGAAGTTTAAAGGCCGAAAGAAAGAACTCGGTACATGTGAAATACAGCAAAAGATATGATGTAATAATATGATGGCGCGTTTTTTCAATCTGCGGCGTAAAATTATATCGGAAGCAGTAACCCGGAAGACTGGAAAGAGCAATTTAACCACTAGCGCCACCACTCTTAGCTTTGCACGATCAGCCATCCATAACAAGAGTTAAAAAAATATCTTAACAATAACAAAGATTAAAATTAAAAGACAGATAACAATAGGGTAAATAATGTGGAAAAATACAATCAATAAATTCAGCCGGCGAAGTTCTTTTTCGAAACAAAATTATTTTACTCTTTAGAAATTCTTATTGTCCACAATCATAATGCTGAGAGTTGTATTTATGGAAATAGCGAAACTTTGGCAGATGATTTTTTTTCACAACCACCGTAAAAATCTCCTTTGTTTTTATGTTGCACAATTACATTCTCATAAACTTTAACATATTATTGTTTATTTAATTGTTTTTTTTAAAAAGTAGACGCATTTGTAGTGAATTTGTGCACTGTCCCCAAACAGTGAGGGAGCGTCTCATTGTTGCTGTCTCGTCCTTGAAAAATATACATTATAACTGACTATCTTTTGGAAGTATTTCTGAGTCATCTCTGTTGATTCTATCCTTCTGTAGTTTCATTAAAACGCCTCTCTCTCCCATCTAAACTATTGAACCATTCTCTGCCGATCTCACGCCAGCGTGAAATTTGTCGATAGAATAGGGAAGACAATCATGCGCCTGCGCGTGGGATGGAGAATCGTCTCAGTAGCCAGCCACGTGTTTTTGCGGGAAAAGTTGCTCCTCATTACTTTTTTCCCCATTTCTTATAACGTGCTTGGTTTATCTGATGGTAATGGCATTGAATAAATTTTGAAGTAAGTTGTAACGGTAGATGGTTCCTAATTTATAGTATATTTAGTTATTGAAAAAAATCTTACATTATGAATTATAGCGATGATTGTTCTGAGAAAATCTTAAACAACTCACAATAATTCACTTAGATTTATTACTTGTTAGTGATATAGTATCATAAGAAAATAATGCATGTTGTCATTTATTTCGATTCTGTTATTTTCCACTTTATATGCTAACGCGTAATCATTATGGAGAAAGTTTTACCTGTAGTGCCTACCACGGGCTGGCGGGTCGTCCAAATTTTCTGTCAGAAAAGATTGGTTAGTAATCAGTTTGTGATATAATATTTTTTACTCTTTTTTTTAATCATATTTGATGAAACAAGTAAATGGCATTTGGGGAAAATCAGGCAAGAAAATAACTATGAACACTTCTTCACGTGCATCAGCAACAAATGTGTTGTTAATCATCAATGAAATTAAAATATAGCACTAAAGTACCATGTGACATACGTAAATAAACGGAGAAATGATGAAAAATGAAACTGTTTGTTTGTTTATGGTTCGTTTTTAAAATTTCATTTCTGCCTAGTTCATAGTTCAATTTGTTACAGCTTGTCGTCGTCAACACAGGAAGAAAAATTTCATCATTTGGGACCATGAAAATCTTTTTGTGTACTACTACATTAATTTTTCAGTCCTAAAGCATTAATATTAAATTTGATTACAAAGCCGGAAAAACAAATATTTGACATGTATAGTGATTTTACTGTTAAAAACTTCTTTGCGAACATTATATTTCTAAAAACAACTTATGTGTCATTTGTATTTGACTATTTAAAAATGAATTACTTTAAAAAATTCTAAAATAAGAGATAATTTTTAAAATACATCATCAGGGAAGCGTTATAATGAAACTTTAATTTTTTTCTTCTTTTTTTTACAAAAATACAAGATAAAAGTACATTTCGCAGCAAAAAAAAAAATTGATTTTTAGTAACACAAAAAAGCTATTCAAATAACATGATTTTACATGATTTTTTTTTCAAAAAAATATTGTTCCGTAATTATTTTGTCTAAAACTTAAATTCCAGACATAATTAAGAGCACTTTGTTTTCAAATAACAAGTTCATGACGCATTATAATTAAAACAAACCTCAGCATATTTTCGTTTTAAATTTGTCTATATTTACTATATATCAGGTACTGCAGATTTTCAGTAACTTTTTTTTATTCTATATGCATTATTTTTCATTGCTTTTTACCTATTTACTGTCACATGAATGATAAATATTTCAAAACATAAATATAATTGATATTTTTGAATCATTATGAAAAGCTAATTCGAAAAAAAAGAAATCGTATAAGTTGAGCGATATGATTCATGTAGAGTCTAGTTTAATTACGAAAGCCGGAATTCAATTCTCCAAAATTAAAATAAATAGATTAAATCTTTGATACAAGTATAATTAAAGAAGATCAACTCAGTTAAGTAACTCAGATACATTGCATCCTTTCCAAGTTAAAAATAATAATTTTACCTTCCAATTAATAACAGTTTTAAAACATACAGTCACTTTCCGTTACTTGCAGTGTTAATTTAATGTAAACAAAAAGTATAATTTATTTTCAAATTTCCAACAGGACATTTATTTTTATGAAAGATTCTCTCCGAATATAAACTCTTTCCATCCGAAATTGTGTTCATTTTTTTTTCAGAACGCTTTTCCGAAGTCGCTTTCTTTTCTAATTACTATCAGAAAAAAAATAAACCTAGTCACTTCAGAAATTCCTTCTGAAATATTATTTCAATTAAAAAGGGATTTAGGAATTTTTATTTTGTACACAATGCGTTAGAATATATAATGCCATGAAATGCTATGTCATTCTTAAAGTTTCAAGCCGAATTTAATTAATGTAACGTTACTTCCCTTCCATAATATGATTTATTAATTTTAATTATGTTCCTAAAATAAATATTTTATTACAATTCTGCGTTGATTGTTTACCTGTTTCTTTAAACAAACTTTTTGTTTTAACATAAAATAATTTGTAATGCATTTTAATTTTATGACTTTAGCATTTTGTTCGATGAATTTATTTTTTTCTCTCCCTAATTTTTAAGAGCATTAAACAATGGCGAGTATTCTTATTAAATTCAAATAATTTAAATTATATTCAAATATTTGCACTTATAAAGTGGAGATATATTTAATACAGTGTAATAATTCATAAGGGAAGATTTCAAATTTGTCAAAAAACTATATTTAATATAAATTTTATTTCATAAAGTGTATTTTTAATAATAATAAATTGAAGGACTACCTATATTCCGATTTATATCGAGAATAACAAATTTATTTAGTTTTTTCGCTATTTTGTTTTTAAGAAAAAGGCTATCTTTGCCTACATTAGTCCCACTGTTCGATACCATTGTGGAAAAGCTTTGCTTCTAGTTTAAACAAATTTTATAACTTGTTAAAGAGTCTTTTATTACAATTCAGAGAGTTATAACTAAAGCTGAAATGAAAATTCTCAATAAATAAAATAAATAAATCTCAAAAATTTCAATGTAAGCCTTATTGAAGAACAAATATTTATTTATTTTAATTCAAATACGTATTTGTAATACAGCAATAGATCATTTCATTTGAACTAAAAAAGACATTTTGGAAAGAAATCAATACATTTGAAAGTCATTATTCGATTTGATTAATATGAAAGTACAGAACTACTTTCAAATTGAATCAGTTTTAATAACCATTGTTTTGACTTGATGATGAAATGGTGCTAGTGGACGGAAGTGTATTTCCCTGGATCAATGAAAACAGAAAATAGAAAATGGTAACATTCGCTGATATTCTGTTTTAGTTTAATGTATGGCGAATATTGTTCTTTAATTCATTGATATGGAGTTTTATTATTTTAACAAACTTGGTGAAACAACTTCTTTAAACTTTCTTAAAACATTTTATAGAGTAAATTAACGTAAGGGTTTCGTACTTGATACTAAAACTACTAATTGTGAAGACTTATTATTCTACAAAATCATTCTAATTTAGAAAATAAAACGATACATCAAAAGCAATAGTAGTTTTTAAAAAAATTCGCCGATTTTAGAAAAATGTATAATTATTTAAAATTATTTTCGATTATTTCAACAAAAAAACAGCATTTCAACTTCAAAAATTTCAACTGTCGACAAGTCGACGGCGAGACATGCGTTTGACGCCAATACCTCTACAGAGCATTATTTTTCCGCCAAAGAGACTTAGAAGGTTTTTCTAATTTTAAATTTTTTCAAATTTTTATTTATTTAATTTTTGCACTCGGTCAGTTTATTTTTTTGAATATCTGACTAGATCGATTTTTGAACTTCATAAAATTAGTCAATATCCTACAAGTTTCGACAACATTTTACTAAATTTCTGAACTTGGTGTTGTCCGGTTAGAGTTCTTTGCTTTTGTTGTCTTTTATCACATATTTAATAATTTAATATCTCACCTTAATTTCTCTTACTGTAACTATTTCTGTATCATATTCATTGTGAAAAGCCCCGAAAGCTCTCTATAATTTAATAACTCTTATTAACATCTGTAGAAATTTCCCAATGTATGTAGATGTATGATTAACTTCTATAAAGCTGTGAAGAACTGTTGCTATAGCTTATAGAAAAATTTAATCAAAGGCTATAGCACACCGCAATTTTATGGGAAAAATTTTCTATATAAAGAAACACCGTAGGATATTCCAATGTTGATTTACCTATGGTAAACTTTTATCGTATACTTTTCCCGTATACGTATTGCAAAAACTTACCTTACGCGTATGGTAAAAACTTGCTATACGCAAATAGTAAACACTTGCCATATGCTCATAAAAAATTTTACTATAGGCAAAACCGCATAAGAATATCCTGTGGTAATTTTTATTGCAAACCTATGGCAAATTTTTCTAAGCGTTGTATTGGCTTTTTTTAGACCAAACCGTCCTTTTTAATAAGCACAGAAACATGTTTATGAATGTGTAACAATAAAAAAAACTAATAAAAAATAAATCCCAAATAAGCGGCTGACATTTATTTATTTATTTTTTGAATTTCAGAAATTCCTGTCCCAGTCCAGGCAGTAGCAGGTGGACGATTGTCTCTTCCATGTGATATTACATCTCCCATAATGGATGATGAAGTTTACTTAGTGCTTTGGTACAAAGACGATGTTGCCACACCAATTTACAGTTTAGATGCCAGGAGAGGGCATCTGGGTCAAGCAAGACATGCGACCAACGAAGCACTTTCGTCCAGAGCTTTCTTCAGTTCAGTGCCTCAACCAGCTGTATTAGAAATAGATAGGGTGTNTGGATCGATTTTTGAACTTCTTAAAGTTAGTCAATATCCTACTAGTTTCGACAACATTTTACTAAATTTCTGGACTTGGTATTGTCCGGTAAGAGTTCTTTGCTTTTGTTGTCTTTTGTCATATATTTAATAATTTAATATCTCACCTTAATTTCTCTTACTGTAACTATTTCTGTATCATATTCATTGTGAAAAGCCCCGAAAGCTCTCTATAATTTAATAACTCTTATTAATATCAGTAGAAATTTCCCAATGTATGTAGTTATATGATTAACTTCTACAAAGCTGTGAAGAACTGTTGCTATAGCTTATAGAAAAATTAATCGAAGGCTATAACACACCGCAATTTCATGGGAAAAATTTTCCATATAAAGAAACACCATAGGATATTCCAATGTTGATTTACCTATGGTAAACTTTTATCGTATACTTTTCCCGTATACGTATTGCAAAAACTTACCTTACGCGTATGGTAAAAACTTGCTATACGCAAATAGTAAACACTTGCCATATGCTCATAAAAAATTTTACTATAGGCAAAACCGCATAAGAATATCCTGTGGTAATTTTTATTGCAAACCTATGGCAAATTTTTCTAAGCGTTGTATTGGCTTTTTTTAGACCAAACCGTCCTTTTTAATAAGCACAGAAACATGTTTATGAATGTGTAACAATAAAAAAAACTAATAAAAAATAAATCACAAATAAGCGGCTGACTTTAATTTTTTTATTTTTTGAATTCCAGAAATTCCTGTCCCAGTCCAGGCAGTAGCAGGTGGACGATTGTCTCTTCCATGTGATATTACATCTCCCATAATGGATGATGAAGTTTACTTAGTGCTTTGGTACAAAGACGATGTTGCCACACCAATTTACAGTTTAGATGCCAGGAGAGGGCATCTGGGTCAAGCAAGACATGCGACCAACGAAGCACTTTCGTCCAGAGCTTTCTTCAGTTCAGTGCCTCAACCAGCTGTATTAGAAATAGATAGGGTGTCATTAGAGGATGAGGGCATTTATCGATGCAGAGTCGATTTTAGAAAAGCACGAACGCAACATTCAGCACTCATTGTTTCAGTAGCAGGTAATGAACAATATTAAATAATTACTTCGATATGTGGGTGCTAAATTCTTGAAAATATCGTTTTATATTTAAACCAATGCCAAATAAGATTGTTAAGTTCTGTTTAGCAGAACTTAGCTTTAAAAAGGCTGCAGTAGACTTTCTTTCATTACAATGATGGAACAGACAATATTAAATGTTTACCATACTAAGTGAAGGCTAACATCATTTAAAGATCTGACTTACAATAAAACCGAACCTAAATAAGCGTTCTTTTAAAAAGATTTGGCTGCATACATTACAATTGCAATAAATTTTTAGTTGTTATTATATCTTTATCATTACCTAATGACAATGTAATAACTAAATGAAATAATAAAATTACATGTTAAATAATAGAGATGTAATGCAAAATGAGGTAATAATTAGTAATATAAAACTAAGTATTTACTATAATTGGTGAATATTTATATTGGGGGAAACTTTGCTGACAACAAAGCAAAGGTAAACTAATCTAGCTAAGCTCTGTACAAAAAATGACTAACTTTTATCCGCAATCTAGAATTAGATGAATAATAGTGTTATTAACAATATTGGATCAGTATTCACGAATTTTGGCTCAATAAGGATTCAAAGAGCCGTTATTTTCCCGATATTAGCCCTAGATAGAATTGTCCTATTTACCGGATATTTTACCCCCACTTTACAACTAATATCCGCCCTATATAGAATTATCAGATTTACCCGATATTTTATTTTCATTAATCAGCCAATATAGGCCATATATTGGCCCCATAAAGGGCGAGATTACCCCTATATAGGACCAATATTAAAAAATTCTAGACAACCCTATATTGATTCCTCGGTGCATGTTCATATAGAACACATATTGAGAGAATTTTGAGCTCAACTGAGGCCAAGGTGAAATAATTATCAATCCAAAGCTAAATACCTTAGACAAATGTTCGCATAGCGTGAAAATTTTCGGGACGCGGTATATTTTCTAATTAATGTTTTTCTTCTTTTGTTATTAAGTATTATTTTATGCTTTTCGGAATATCGTTGAGTTGCTTTACAGTTTTATTGCTCGTTATCTCCTACTCTTCACTTAATCTCATTCGTCTGTTTGTGTACTGTAAGAATTTGTGTCAAATAAACAAAACAAATTGAATAAAATTTATTCTAATGATCAGATTTTCACATACTAAATCTTAATTACTAAAACTCAATCTTAATGGTCCGAGGAAGTGATCTCAGATAAATGCGCTAATTAAATAACGGAAAAGATATTTTAAGTTATGAAATCAATATTCAAAATGTACTTTTCTCTGAATAAACGTATCTTTTTTTCGGCAGATTTGGATTTCTGACCCCAAAAATATAAGGGGAGGGGTTATCTGCAATCGGAAGAAATATGATCATAAGAGCTGCCCAAAGTTTGAACCCTGCCTTAATATTAATTTGACATTTTGCTAGTATATTTTTTAAAATAATTGATGAATTGAAATCTGTCGAATAGCTCTTGAACAATAAAATTTTAAATTTAAGGTTTTTATTTAAAATTCGATTTCTCAGAAATTTCACAGAATTATATCTTTTCATTGCTTTGTTTTCCGGCATATTAATTTTTTTGTATTTTTTTTTCTTTCTTTTTTTTAAATTAATTTTTTCAATAATTTATTTTTCTACTTCTTTTCAATAATCTTTACTATTTTCCAAGTTTTCTCTATATTTTTAACTGATTTTATGAGTTCTATATACTTACACTACTTTCAAATTGAATCAGTTTTAATAACCATTGTTTTGACTTGATGATGAAATGGTGCTAGTGGACGGAAGTGTATTTCCCTGGATCAATGAAAACAGAAAATAGAAAATGGTAACATTCGCTGATATTCTGTTTTAGTTTAATGTATGGCGAATATTGTTCTTTAATTCATTGATATGGAGTTTTATTATTTTAACAAACTTGGTGAAACAACTTCTTTAAACTTTCTTAAAACATTTTATAGAGTAAATTAACGTAAGGGTTTCGTACTTGATACTAAAACTACTAATTGTGAAGACTTATTATTCTACAAAATCATTCTAATTTAGAAAATAAAACGATACATCAAAAGCAATAGTAGTTTTTAAAAAAATTCGCCGATTTTAGAAAAATGTATAATTATTTAAAATTATTTTCGATTATTTCAACAAAAAAACAGCATTTCAACTTCAAAAATTTCAACTGTCGACAAGTCGACGGCGAGACATGCGTTTGACGCCAATACCTCTACAGAGCATTATTTTTCCGCCAAAGAGACTTAGAAGGTTTTTCTAATTTTAAATTTTTTCAAATTTTTATTTATTTAATTTTTGCACTCGGTCAGTTTATTTTTTTGAATATCTGACTAGATCGATTTTTGAACTTCATAAAATTAGTCAATATCCTACAAGTTTCGACAACATTTTACTAAATTTCTGAACTTGGTGTTGTCCGGTTAGAGTTCTTTGCTTTTGTTGTCTTTTATCACATATTTAATAATTTAATATCTCACCTTAATTTCTCTTACTGTAACTATTTCTGTATCATATTCATTGTGAAAAGCCCCGAAAGCTCTCTATAATTTAATAACTCTTATTAACATCTGTAGAAATTTCCCAATGTATGTAGATGTATGATTAACTTCTATAAAGCTGTGAAGAACTGTTGCTATAGCTTATAGAAAAATTTAATCAAAGGCTATAGCACACCGCAATTTTATGGGAAAAATTTTCTATATAAAGAAACACCGTAGGATATTCCAATGTTGATTTACCTATGGTAAACTTTTATCGTATACTTTTCCCGGATGCGTATTGCAAAAACTTACCTTATGCGTATGGTGAAAACTTGCTATACGCATATAGTAAACACTTGCCATATGCTCATAAAAAAATTTTACCATAGGCAAAACCACATAAGAATATCCTATGATAATTTTTATTGCAAACCTATGGCAAATTTTTCTAAGCGTTGTATTGGCTTTTTTAGACCAAGCCGTCCTTTTTAATAAGCACAGAAACATGTTTATGAATGTGTAACAATAAAAAAAACTAATAAAAAATAAATCACAAATAAGCGGCTGACTTTAATTTTTTTATTTTTTGAATTCCAGAAATTCCTGTCCCAGTCCAGGCAGTAGCAGGTGGACGATTGTCTCTTCCATGTGATATTACATCTCCCATAATGGATGATGAAGTCTACTTAGTGCTTTGGTACAAAGACGATGTTGCCACACCAATTTACAGTTTAGATGCCAGGAGAGGGCATCTGGGTCAAGCAAGACATGCGACCAACGAAGCACTTTCGTCCAGAGCTTTCTTCAGTTCAGTGCCTCAACCAGCTGTATTAGAAATAGATAGGGTGTCATTAGAGGATGAGGGCATTTATCGATGCAGAGTCGATTTTAGAAAAGCACGAACTCAACATTCAGCACTCATTGTTTCAGTAGCAGGTAATGAACAATATTAAATAATTACTTCGATATGTGGGTGCTAAATTCTTGAAAATATCGTTTTATATTTAAACCAATGCCAAATAAGATTGTTAAGTTCTGTTTAGCAGAACTTAGCTTTAAAAAGGCTGCAGTAGACTTTCTTTCATTACAATGATGGAACAGACAATATTAAATGTTTACCATACTAAGTGAAGGCTAACATCATTTAAAGATCTGACTTACAATAAAACCGAACCTAAATAAGCGTTCTTTTAAAAAGATTTGGCTGCATACATTACAATTGCAATAAATTTTTAGTTGTTATTACATCTTTATCATTACCTAATGACAATGTAATAACTAAATGAAATAATAAAATTACATGTAAAATAATAAAGATGTAATGCAAAATTAGGTAATAATTTGTAATATAAAACTAAGTATTTACTATAATTGGTGAATATTTATATTTAGGGAAACTTTGTTGACAACAAAGCAAAGGTAAACTAATCGAGCTAAGTTCTGTACAGAAAATGACTAACTTTCATCTGTAATCTAGAATTAGATGAATAATAGTCCTATTAACCTCATTGGATCAGTATTCACGAATTTTGGCTCAATAAGGATTCAAAGAGCAGATATTTTCCCGAATATTTGCCCTAGATAGAATTGTCCGATTTACCGGATATTTTACCCCCACTTTACAACTAATATCCGCCCTATATGTAATTATCAGATTCACCCGATATTTTATTTTTATTAATCAGCAAATATAGGCCATATATTGGCCCCATAAATGGCGAGATTACCCCTATATAGGACCGATATTAAAAAATTCTAGACAACCCTATATTGATTCCTCGGTGCATGTTCATATAGAACACATATTGAGAGAATTTTGAGCTCAACTGAGGCCAAGGTGAAATAATTATCAATCCAAAGCTAAATACCTTAGACAAATGTTCGCATAGCGTGAAAATTTTCGGGACGCGGTATATTTTCTAATTAATGTTTTTCTTCTTTTGTTATTAAGTATTATTTTATGCTTTTCGGAATATCGTTGAGTTGCTTTACAGTTTTATTGCTCGTTATCTCCTACTCTTCACTTAATCTCATTCGTCTGTTTGTGTACTGTAAGAATTTGTGTCAAATAAACAAAACAAATTGAATAAAATTTATTCTAATGATCAGATTTTCACATACTAAATCTTAATTACTAAAACTCAATCTTAATGGTCCGAGGAAGTGATCTCAGATAAATGCGCTAATTAAATAACGGAAAAGATATTTTAAGTTATGAAATCAATATTCAAAATGTACTTTTCTCTGAATAAACGTATCTTTTTTTCGGCAGATTTGGATTTCTGACCCCAAAAATATAAGGGGAGGGGTTATCTGCAATCGGAAGAAATATGATCATAAGAGCTGCCCAAAGTTTGAACCCTGCCTTAATATTAATTTGACATTTTGCTAGTATATTTTTTAAAATAATTGATGAATTGAAATCTGTCGAATAGCTCTTGAACAATCAAATTTTAAATTTAAGGTTTTTATTTAAAATTCGATTTCTCAGAAATTTCGCAGAATTATATCTTTTCATTGCTTTGTTTTCCGGCATATTAATTTTTTTGTATTTTTTTTTCTTTCTTTTTTTTAAATTAATTTTTTCAATAATTTATTTTTCTACTTCTTTTCAATAATCTTTACTATTTTCCAAGTTTTCTCTATATTTTTAACTGATTTTATGAGTTCTATATACTTACAGCTTATGCG